AATGTAATTTACATTTTTAGTGAAAATATTAGCAGAATTCTTGAGTGAGAAGTCTGTCGCGAAATGGTACTATTTTATAACATTTTGCTAAGCTTTTATTTGGTTCGTAATTAAGACCTGTTTCATAACGGTGTGCTAAGCGTTTATTTGGTTCGCAATAAAGGCCTTTTTCATAACGGTTTGCTAAGCTTTTATTTGGTTCGTCATAAAGACATGTTTGAAAATGGTTTGCTAAGCTTTTATTTGGTTTGTCATACAGGCCTGTTCCATAACGGTTTGTTAAGCTTTTATTTGGTTCGTCATAAACGCCTGTTCCATAACGATTTGCTACGCTTTTATTTGGTTCGTAATAAAGACCATGGAATCCAGAAAAGAATCGTCCTATCTCCATATTATTAATCTTTTTTGGTAAACATATCTCTATATAATCTAAAATAAAAAAGATAAATTTTACATTACAAAAATGATAGATCATAAAACATGTGATTTATAAGAATGCTATTAATACTCATACCTTCTCTTATGTAACATATGTTATCATTTTCGGTGAGAATTATGTAATGCGGTTGATCGTCATTGACAAGATTTGATTTGAAACACGTGCAAGGTGCACACATGCAGATGCGATGATTTTGGTAGTGATAGTATAGATATGGAAACATACCAGTTTTCATCAATTTTGCTTGGAAATTCAGATCACATTTAGAATACCATTCAACAATGCCTTCGTGATAAATGCTTTCTTTAGGAGGAGCCAAATGAGGTTGCAATAAATGCTTTACAATCACTCCAATCGAAAATTTGATATTTTTATTTCTTGTATTATCCGTTTTTCTACTGCGATCTGTGAAACATATAATAGCAGAATTTAACCAGATATCTTATCAACCGGTTTCTAAACTATTGTAACTATTGTAATAACTTAAGTTTTAGATAAAATTATAATCAATATAATCTTTTTATATAGATTATTATACAGGGTGGTCCATTTTAAAAGAGCCAGTCAAATATCTCGAAAAATATGAAAGATACAGGGAAACGTTTCAGACAAAAGTTGTTTGTTTCGAAGGGGGACATAAGATGGTGCTATTGATGTGACCTTGGATAGTCATTTGAAGGTCACATAAAAGTCACTTTCAATTTCTTAAATGGAAACCCCCATTTTTCATTACATATTCTTATAACTTATGTCGAGAGCTTTCCAAAACACTATAATAAAGTATTTTTTCATTAAGTACTTTTTCACATGAAGATCACTTTCAATTTCTTAAATGGAAACCTCCATTTTTTATTGCATATTCTTGTAGGTTATCTCGAGAGCTTTTAATAATGAGACAAATCAATTAGTGTAAAGAAAAAAAACAAATAATTGTATAAAAAAATACATTATAAATAATTACATACTTTTTTCTAAAAACAATCATTTCTTTTTACTTTTTTTTTACTTTATACTTTTTTATAAATTACATTTATAAAAAATAGGTTTCCATTTAAGAAAATAAAAGTGACTTTCATGTGACCTTCAAATGACTATCCAAGATCACATAAATGGCACCATCTTATGTCCCCCTTCGAACCAAACAACTTTTGTCTGCAACGTTTTTCCGTATCTTCCATATTTTTCGAGATATTTGACTGGCTCTTTTAAAATAGACCACCCTGTATATATGCATATTTAAGTATAATACATTATATGATGTATAATAAATTACCTTTATTGTTTTTGTAATGCTTCTGTATTGAGCTACAATATTCATATTTTGTTCCTCAATATTTTCATAATTAGACAGGATTTCGGACAGGATATTTAAATTCCATTTGTAAAATTTTTTATTACCTGTCAGTTGTATAAAATGTGCCATCATCATTCGTATTATCTAAAAAAACAGATATAAAAACAAAATTTGATTACAAATAAGAACATAAAAAAAAATTATTACTTTCATTCATTGCTTATTATAAAATGTATTGACTTATTGATCTAACGTATTATTTCTAAGATCTATAATCTCTATAATTAAGAGATTGTTCTCTTTATTAATAACTAAAATTAATATAAACTACATGGAAAAATTTGCCAACCTGTATATTATTATATGAACGATTTCCAGAGTTGGAATTTTCGTCTCTTCTTTCGTTTGTTTGCAACCGCTCTGCATTCAAATCTCTTCTATTAAAATAAAAAAAGATACACATCCATATGTACATGTATACATACGTATACATATATATAGATATATACATACATATATAAAGAGTGTTCATCGATATTCAAGATTTCTGTAGCATTTGTAATTAATTGATTAAAAATGTTGTATATCTGTTGTGAATCTGTATCTCAAAATTGAGCAATAAATTGTTTACGTATAATTGCATGTAATTTTTTTGATATGTATAGATCAATACGTAATTAATTCTTTATTTATAATAATAAATAAAAGCTCTTCTAAAAGTAACAAACGAGTCAAGACAATAAAAGCCACGCGTGGTAATTATGGCGCAATATGTTTAATTTTATTTTAATAACTATGAGTCATAGAGAGTACATACGTTTCGATCCCTTTTTCGGATCATTTTCTGCAAAAACAAATAATAAATTAACATACAAAAGATATTGAGATAAAAAACATCAAATCTATTCAATATTTTTGCAGCGTACCTCCAGTACATTCGAATCTAATTGTCAATGAAATGCCGAGGTTTTCTTTCAAGCCGCTCAATTATCTTACTAACTAAAAAAATTTTACGTGGAAACAATGACGTGAGAGATATCAAACCGACTTTATTTTTAATTTTTTACCTTTTTACATTATGACTGCAATTTTTATTTATTTTTAATTATATTACTTTTTTTGTATATTAATTTACTATTTGTTTGCGCTGAAGATGATTCGAAGAAGGGATCAAAACGTACGTACTTTCTATGACTTATTGTTATTAAAATAAAATAAAACATATTGCGCCCTAATTATCGCGCGTGGCTCTTATTGCCTTTATCTTGATTTGTTTGTTAATTTTTTATTGAGTTTATCTATGTGAATATATTTATGTTTAAAATAATATAAAAAATTTAGTTTCATAAAAGAAATTATGATAAAACTGCATAAAACATAACACACATCCGATTTAATCGCCACTTAAATAAGTTGTACGGGGGGTTTTTCTGAGTAATTCGTTGCAAGAAATAAGTGGGGGACGGCATTGGTTTAGGAAATGTAACAAATTGAAGTTTCACAGTTTTAATGCTTTTTCTCAGGTATTATAAAGTAATAATAGGAAAAGTGAAGTTTGTATTTGTTGAACGTTGTATTTGTTGTAGAGCAGACGAAAAAGTGTTTGTTTACATTTTTGGGATAGGTACACAGTCATGGATATTTTGTCAATAATATGTTTCACCTATTTCTCGCAGTTTGTTAACAGCTTTCAACATGCGACTACATGAATTTCTGAGACAGGTCTTCAAAAATATTATTTATTGAATGCGTGGGCAGAAGAGGGGCGGAGCCCCTTTCCCTGCACCGCCGTCCCGAAAAATTTTTTTTTTCCCAACCAAGCTTTACTTTTAAAACTGAAAATAGGTTTGGGTTAGGTTATATCTTCCGGAAGAGAAGCCCCCCTTGGGGCGGGGCGGGGGACGGAACCCACTGTATCCACGCATATACTTTACAATGCGAAGCGAAGTCCACTCCACAATTATTGCGTGCATAAAAAAGTCTATGCGTGGACACAGTGAGTTCCGCCCCTCCTAAGGGGGGTTTCACTTCCGGAAGATATAACCTAACCCAAACCTATTTCTGATTTAAAACTAAAATTTACTATTAACTTATTCCTATCTTCAACAAGACTAGGAAATTCGTATAATCGTATGTTGAAAGCTTCTAACGAATTGCGAGAAATAAGTGAAACACATCATTGACAAAGTATCCATGAGTGTATATTTATCCCGTAAATGTAAACAAACACTTTTTCCACGTCTGCTCTACACAAATACATCGTAAACAAACTCCATTTCTCTTTATTTTATAATAGAAAAAGTATTAAAACTAAAACTTTAATTTGTTATATCTTCTAAACTAATGTCGTCCCCCACAAATTTTTTGCGGGGAATTACTCAGAATAACCTCCCCTATAATATATTTAAGTAGCAATAAAATCGGATAAGTGTTATCTTTTATGCAGTTTTACTGAAATTATATATCGTTCTACTTAAAAATTTTAGTGTCTTGAAATTTTTACTTGGAAAAAAAAGTTTTTGAATTCGTTTTTGTATACATGTGTATGTGTGAGTATATGTGGCACGCACGCACGTACGCACATGTATATATATATATATATATACACATGGTGTCCGACAAGTAAGTGACCAACCAAAAGGTGGAGGTAGATTGGGTCAAACTAAAAAGAAAAGTCCTGTACCATTTTTGTTATATAACGCTTAATAAAAAAGTTATTATTGAGTAAAGTCTGGCCCATCAGCGTCGACTTTTAGCCGGACGCACGTTAGTGAGCCGCCCGTCTGATAGTGTGCGTCGCCGTAGCGACGGAGCGCTCACTCACACTACCAGGCGCGCGGCTAAAGGTTGGCGCTGATTGGACAGACTTAAACAATAATAACTCTTTTATTAAGCATTATAAAAAAGATGGTTTAGGACTTTTCGATTCAGTTTGACCCAATCTACCTCCATCTTTCGTTTGGTCACTTACTTGTCGGATATCCTGTATATATACAGGGTGAGACTTTTTAATCTTAACAGGCAAATATCTCAAAACCTGTAAGTTTTAGAAGGAAACTTTTTAGACAAAAGTTGTTTGGTTCTGAGGGGGAAAAGAGATAGGAATATTAGTTAGACCTTAGGTGGCATTGTTAAGGTCATATCAAGGTTACATTGAATTTTTTAAATTGATTTGAAATCTATTTTTTATTGCATATTCTTATAGCCGTTGTCGAGACCTTTTTAAAACTCTATAATAAAGTATGTTTTCGTTGAGTACTTTTTGAGTTATTTTATATCTTAATCCGACATATTTTGATATAAAAAATAAAATATCTTGCAAAATATTTAGTTTTCGATAATCTTACCGTTATACTTTTGGTAATTATTTACATTGACAGACACCTCGCCGATGATCTTGACTTTGACATATGTTGTCAAGGACATAAGCCTGAGTAACTTTTTCTTATAACTTAATCGGCAGTTATTGATTATTAAAAAGTTATTAACAAATAAAGTTTGAGAAATAAAACGTAATTTTTACATGACAAACCAAATTTTCAGAAATATGTTTGGGTTAGGTTATATCTTCCGGAAGTGAAACCCCCCGTAGGGCGGGTGGAACTCACTGCGTTCACGTATACACTTTTCCATCCACACAACAATTCTAGGCTGAACGTCGCTCCGCATTGTAAAGTATATGCATGGACACAGTGGGTTCCGCTCCTCCCCACCCTACGGGGGGCTCCACTTCCGGTAAATATAACTTAACCCAAATCTACTTCTGATTTAAAACTAAAATTTTATTCAAGTTACGTTATATAACTCAAACCAAATTTTTGTTTCAAATCTAACTCTAACTTTAAATATCTTAAAAATTATAAGAAACCGCCGATTAAGTTATAAGGAAAAGTTACTCAGGATTATGTCCTTGACAACATATGTCTAGGTCAAGGTCATCGGCGAGATGTCCGTTAATGTAAATAATTACCATACTTTTATGTACAGAATAATGAGACAAATCAATTGGTATAAAAAAAATAATTGTTTTTGAGAAAAAGTATGTAATTATTTAGAATGTATTTTTTTAACAATTATTTGTTTTTTCTGGCGGTTATAAGAATATGCAATAACGGCTATAAGAATATGCAATAAAAAATAGAAGTTCCAATTTAAAAAATTCAATGTGACCTTGATATGACCTTAATAATGCTACCCAAAGTCTAACTAATATTCCTATCTCTTTTCCCCCTCAAAACCAAACAACTTTTGTCTAAAAAGTTTCCTTCTAAAACTTACAAGTTTCGAGATATTTGCCTGTTAAGATTAAAAAGACTCACCCTGTATATATGTATACACAGAGTGTCCCATTTTAAACAATCAAACCGAGTATCTCGAAAACTGAGCCCGATAGATAATGTAAAAAAAACAAATAATTGTTTAAAAAAATACATTGTAAATAATTATATACTTATTCTTAAGAACAATCATTTTTTTTATACTAATTTATTTATCTCATTATTCTGTACATAAAAGTATTACGGTAAGATTATCGAAAACTAAATATTTTACGAGATAATTAATTTTTTATATTAAAATATGTCAGATTACAATATAAAATCACTCAAAAAATACTTAATGAAAAAATACTTTATTATAGTGTTTTGAAAAGCTCTCGAGATAAGCTATAAGAATATGTAATAAAAAGTGGGGAGTTCCATTATACATATATATATATATGTATATATGGAAGTATACATATAAATATGGAAACCACAAAGATTAAAAGAGCTCTAGAACTAAAATTATACTCACTCTATCCGTAATTCGACAAGCATATAATCGTCACTGTTTGGTCTCAGATTGCAGCGTATGCCAAGTCTTCTGGCTACACAGTGACATATAGTGACATGTAGATAGTTTTTAAAATGCGCTGAAACCTATATTATAAACTATATTAGAAAAATTATATAGTGTGAATATTTATATAAGATATAAAAGACATAGTTATGCTCGTGCAGCGCATTTACATTGAGCTCACCTTGAAAGGTCACTCAAGGTCAAGTCTATATTTTCATCATGTGGCCCCCTCGAAACCAAGCAACTTTTGTCTAAAACATTTTGGTATATCGGGCTCAGTTTTCGAGATATTCGGTTTGACTGTTTAAAATGGGACAGCCTGTATATATAACAATATATATATACAGGGTTGGGAAAGTTACTTTATAAAAGTAATTCGTTACCGTTACCGTCCTATTTTCTAAAAAGTAACTCGTTACCGTTACCGTTACTAAAAAAATAACGAGTCTTTACAATTTCCGTTAGTTTTTTTATATATGACACAATCTTTACATACAATTTTTTTTTTAATACAAGATCAATTTAAACACTAAAAATTTTTAAACATTATCTTACAAAGTAGAAAAAAACAAGATACCAGAATAAGCTTCCAGTAGTTTTCATGTAATGCTGCATTCCAACACTCTTATCAATATATTCCTTTGTATTACAATTATACCGAGCAAAGTCGAAAAAAGTAACGATAAAAGTAATTGATAAATTCATTATTCGTTACCAAAAAATGTAACGAAGTTACTTTTTCCGTTACAAACCAAATTTGTAACGCCGTTACCATTACAGTTACCGAAAAAGTAACCGTAACGATAACGACGTTACAAGTAACGCGTTACTTCCCAACTTTGTATATATATATAATTTAATAAAATTTAAAATATATATTACATTATTCATATATTTGTTTTTTATATTTAATGTTGTCAATAGTTGACATAATTTATCGACAAATAGGGATTCAAGAGAACTGTTAGTAAATGTTATAAGAATTTCCGTAATTTGCATTTCTTCTGTTCGATCCCAGAAATGATCGTCAATATTATTATCTCTCCAAAAAGATAATTGCTCAGTAGACATCATGAATATTGAATGTTCAGGATATTTATTTTTAAGGCGGTATAGTACTTCTTGCGCAATATTATCTAGCCATGTTTTTATGACTGAGCAAGATATACATGGTTCAAAATATTGGGCTATGATAGTAAGTAACTCTTCTAAAAGTCGCTTTTTCCTTGGCTTATTCATAAATTTGGATATTTTATATATAAAACGATATTGTTTTAGACAATTAAATATTAGATCAAAGTTATATCTATATGTCAAATCGTTTAGCCTGAAAAAAATTACATATTAACTGTACAATAACGATATTAATTTATAATGCTAATAGCAATTTAGTTTACTAAATTTTACCATGGTAATCCTGCATCAATAATTCGTTTTTGCTTATCTAAAAGAAAATAATAAAGCATAGAATCTTCAACTATGGAACGCAGAAGACATTCCAATTCTTTTTTGTTGGTATCCCTTAACTTATCTTCTGACATCAAAAGCATATAATTTTGTAGCTTTTTCATACATTTCATTCCTGCGTTTATTTCTTCTTTAAAATCTAAATAGTTAAAAATTATTTTCTTTTTGTCTACATTATATTTTTTATTCGCAGTAGAACATCTAAAATTAAGATAAACACTTCTCAAAAATTATATTAAACAACACCACGATATGAGCTATAAATCTTATTTGATCAATATACTTTCTTTCAAAAATATATACATACATTTTTTAATTACGTACACATTAATATTTAGGACAAATTAATAAAATTGTAAATACTAATATAGATTTTTCTATTTAATAGAGATATATACATATATTAATTTTTTTAACCAAATTGTAATTATTACAACAGAGTAAAGAATAACAATCTGTACATATACATATAATACAATGTATTATCAAAACTAAACGTGTAAGGATATTTTTAATCTGCATCTGCTATTAAAATAAAAAAAATGAAATTTTATAATAAAGAAAGTACTTAATCTTTAATATCTCTAACTAGTTAAAACTGATCGCATATAATGTTTTAAAATTGTAGAAGGTATAAAGTTTGCACAAAAAATTTTAAGAAAAAAATACGGTTATATTACAAGTCTGAAAAGATATAATTATTTATGAAAGTTAAAAATAATATTATATAAGTAAATCTCGAAACAAATTACAAGTCATAAGACAAATAAATGTAAAAAAGTGTTTTCTTATTTGAATATTACTATAAATTATTATAGATTAACATTTATAT